GCAGTTTCTTTAAAAAACTAAACATGCAATAATCACACAACCCCATGATTATACTCCTGAGCATTTAATGCAGAAAAATGAACAGCTATGCTCATAAAAAATACGTGTATAAGTGCTTATAGCAGCTTTATTCATAACAGTGCAAAACTGGAAACAATGCGGGGGTCCATCAACAGGAGAATAGGTATGCAGATGTAATATTAATAGACCCATATCACAGAATACAATTCAGCAATAAAACAGAACAAGCTGTTGATATGCACAACAACCTGAATGAATCTCCAGAGAATTGTACTGGGCGAACAAAGCCAAATCTCAAAATGTCACATACTGTGCGATTCCATTTATTGAACGTTCTTGAAATGAAATCACAAAATTATAGGAACGGAGAATAGATGAGTGGCTGCCAGGGTGTGGGGGCGGGAGCAGGAAGAGAGTGGCCGTGGCTACAACAGGGTGATGTGAGGGTGATTACATCAGTGTCAGTATCCTGGCCATGCTCCAGTTTGACACGAAGTACCCTTGAGGGAAACTGGATAAAGGTATCTCTCTGTACTCTTTCTCAGATCTGCATGTAGATCTACAATTAATTCAAAAATAAGTTAAATTAAAAAAAAGATATAGGCTATGAAATACTAGATGTTGGAGACTCTGAAGGGTGGGAGTGGGATGAAGAAATCGCCTGGTAGGAATGACGTATGCTATTTGTGTGATGCTGACTCTAAAAGCCCAGACTTCACCACTACACGATATATCCCCGTAACAAAACTGCATTCGTGTGACCCAAATTTATAAAAATTATAAGGCTAGGCATGGTGGTTCACGCCTGTAATCTTAGCACTCTGGGAGGCCAAGGCAGGAAGATCGCTTGAGCTCAGGAGTTCAAGACCAGCCTGAGCAAGAAAGAGCGAGACCCTGTCTCTACTAAAAACAGAAAAATTAGTCAGGTGTGGCGGTGTGCACCTGTAGTCTCAGCTACTCGGGAGGCTGAGGCAGGAGCATTGCTCGATGCCAGGAGTTTGAGTTGCTGTGAGTTATGATGATGCCACTGCACTCTACCCAGGTTGACAGAGCAAGATTCTATCTAAATAAATACATAGATAGAAAATTGTCCCTCGTGTAAGTATACACATCACTTACCCAGTATTCTTGCCAAAGAATAGAGAAACACAAATTAAAAATAAACTGAGATACTGTTTTCCACCTAGCAGATTGGCAGAAATCCACAAGCTTAGCATATTCTGTTGGCCAGGCTGCAAGCAAATAGGTACTCTCGGAAATTGCCAGTGAGATTGCAATAAAATATCTCTATGGAGGGGAATTGAGCAATCTCTAACAAAATCACACACACATGTACAATTTGATCCAGCAGTCTACTCCCAAAGTTACACTGACAAAGATACGAAAAGACACATGCACAAGGCAATTCATTGTAGCTCCCTTAGTAATAGTAAAAAAGTAGGAACCACCCACAAGCCCATCAAGAGGAAACAGGTTGTAAAAAAAATAAACAAATAAGGACAATCTCTACATACCACAATGTGGTTATCTCTATATTTTTTTAGTGGTTACAAAAGGGGCAGAGCAATGTGCTATATAGTATGCTACTTTAAGAAAGAGAGGTACTATGAATATATTTGCTTATATGCATAAACATACATATAACAGAAGAACAAACAAAAACTGATGAAAATAGTTATCTGTAGGGGAGAGGGGGGATGGGACAGAAAGAATACAGATGGAAATTGGACCTTTCTGAATGTACGTTGTTTTATAGTTTTGCCACTGGAACTCTGTAAATGTTTTACCTAATGATTTGCAACGGTTTGAACGTGTGCCTTCCAACGTTCAGGTGTTGCCAATGTGACAGGATTAAGAGGTGGGGCCCTGAGAGGTGATTAGGCCGTGCGGGCTCCTCCCTCATGAACGGGATCAGCTGCCCTTATAAAAGGGCTTGACAGAGGAGCTAGGCTCCTCTTGCCCTCCACCTGCCGGGATCTGGCGTTCTTCCCTCCGAAGGATGCTGCCCTACTCAGACGCCAAATGCCAGGGCCTTCATCTCGGACTTCCAACCTCCAGAACTGTGAGAAAATAGATTTCTGTTCTTCATAAATTACCCGCTCTGCGGTATTGTTATAGCAGCACACAGAACAGACTAACACAATTATAAAAGAAATTTAAATCAAATTTTCTAAAAGCAATCCCTAAAAATAGAAAGGAGGGGAGGAATTGGAGCTTGGTGAGTCTGGGCAATGTTTTAAGGTAATTTTGCTCAAGAGCAGGAAAGGACCGGAGCAGTAATTCTTGAGGCCAATATGAATTGGGTTTTTTTTAAGGCAGGAAAAAGAACATGCTGGAATGATGTGCTTGATCTGAGCTACTGCACAACTAGAGGGGTTTATCTGGTGGTATGAATAACACGAGAGAAGGCACTGTCTGCAGGTACAGGTGCCGGTGGGTGGCTAGATTTGGTGGTGGGAGTCAAGGAAGGGCTCTCTCTCAATTGCTTCAATTTTCTCCTCGAGTTAAAAAGCAAGGTTATCACCTGGCCCAAGAATGAGGCTAAAGGAGGCTCCTAGTTGTTGGGTGTTGAGAGAAGGAAGTGGGAGAGTCGCCCAGGAGAGTGGAACAGTTGATAGATTGAAGCCTAATGTGGTTGTCAGGCCGAGTGAAGGCAGGATCCCGAATTCAAGTTAAGATACAGTCAACGTGGTCATGTGACTTTGTCCAGCCGTGTTCAACAGCGTGTACGAGAAACTCTTGTGCGTGTACGCGAAGAGGCATGTGCAAGAATGCGATTGCCCACCTCTGAACTCTTGTATCTCTACCGATGAGAGTTACAGATTACAAAGAAGAATATTACACTTAGTATATAATTTATTAAAATGAACTGAATTCTCTGTCTTCTCAGTGTTGACCCAATTGGTGGACCTAATTTGAGATGTCAAATAGTATAAGGTGAGGTAACTCCTCCAGAGCAAAAGAGCTACTTCAGAATGCTTGTATTATTGTTTTAAAAAATTGGATAGTAATGATTATAATTTCCATTTTCCTGATTATCATAGATGTGTGTAGAATGATTCTAGACTTACAGTTAGAGCTATAACCTATACATTAACTTTCGTATTGGCCTCCACATAGATTCCTTTCCAGATCAAGATGCCAGTCATGAAAGAAATGAAAATAATTCCTCTTTATGCCAGAGACCCAAGAAGATAGAAAGAGAAGTTGCAGTACCAAGAAACGACATGAAACCAGGTAATGTGTTTGGTCCTCTAGTGACCTTAACATCAGTGAAGTCAATTCCTGCCTGAAAAGTGCACAAGACTAAATTAATGCAGAAACATGTTATCATAGCATGCACCCAATAAATATTTGTTGCATTCTATTTTGGCTAATCTTAATATTGCAATCTTTGGTTTCTTTCGTTTTATAGGCTTATTTTCTTGATAAGCCTTGGCCACCTTCTTTTCACATATGCCCAAGTAAATTTTGTGGGTCCCCTCCCGCAAGATTTTCCATCAAAAAAAGAGAATAGTTGTCTTAAAGTCCTTGCAAAGTCTTTGAAATCATAATGTTCTCCTTTTAAAAAAAAATTGAAACACAGATAC